AGTAAACTCCTACTAAGCCCATAGTAAACCCATAGCAGACCTGTAGTAACCCCATCGCAGACCTGTAGTAAAGCCAAAGTGAACCCTTAGAGCACTAAACACATAGTAAACCCATAGGAAAGTAGAACACTTGGAGTAAACTCCTACTAAACCCATGGTAAAGCAGCAAACCCCCAGTAAACCCATAAACTCCTACTAAACCCATAGTAAACTCCTCCTAAACCCCGAGTAAAGCAGTAAACCCACAGGAGAGCAAAACACTTGTAGTAAATTCCTACTAAAATCATAGTAAGCCCGTAATACACTCATGGTAAACCCCTAGCAAAACAATAAACCCACAGTAAACCCATAGTAAAGCAGTAAACCCATAGTAAACTCTAGTAAAGTAGTAAACCCGTAGTGAAGCAGAACGTTCAGTTAACTCTAACTAAACCCATACTAAAGCAGTAAACCCGTAGTAAACCCATAGCAAACTCCTACTAAACCCATAATAAACCCATAATACCTCATAGTAAACCCATAGCAAAACAGCAAACTCCTAGAAAACCCCTAGTAAAGCAGTAAATCTGTAGCAAAGCACTAAACTCCCAGTAAACCCATAGCAAAGCAGTGAACCTGCAGTAAACTCCTAGTAAAACCATAGTAAAGCAGTAAACTCCCAGTAAAACCGCAGTAAAGCAGTAAACCTATAGTAAACCCGAGGTAAAGGCGTAGCGAGCCTGTGGTGGCAGGGCCACACTAACACCAGAGCAAAGCTGGCAGGAGAAACCCGGGGTAAAAATCCAAGCCCGGTCATAGTAAACTGTTAGTAAAGGCGTAGCAAACCTGGGGTGAAAGTCGGAGTGAGCCCGGGGGGAAGTTGGGGCGGAGCCGGCTAGTATCACAGCAAAGCTGGAGCAACCTAGAAGTAAGCGATGAGTAACCTACGACTAACGTATGAGGAATTGATGAGAAACCGATGCATAACCTATACATAACCTCATAGTAACCAACGCATAACCTGTAAGTAACTGGTAGGGAACCTCCAAGTAGCCTAGGAGCAATCTGTAAGTATCTGATGCATAAC